TAGCAAACAACTAATGTAAGCTGCATGCAGTACTTCAGCGCAGTATGGTGCACCACAGTAAACCACATTGCATCATGCTGAGGTCGGTGGAATTAAATGAAATGTCACAAAGTGCCATTTCAATAAAGTACTACTCACCCCAAAAAAAAGTTACAGTGGAATGCACTTTTTTCAGCATATTGACACTGGAGCCTCAAAAGAAAGAACACCAGCAAGCTGCATTTTAACGCAGCTGCTGGTGTTAACAGGCCCCGACTTTGAATGGATCTGAATGTTTGTGGGACATTCATGTCCCCTTTAAACTACTTCATACAAATGTGTTTTAGTGTGGGTGGGACTGGAAACTATCAGTAGTATTTGAGATTTAGAGTATTTTCCAGATTTATTATCTACATTTAAAATCATGGCTAGTGAGGGTCCAGGATCTTTCAAGTACACAATTAAGTTATAATTGTGACAAGATCTTTATTGTTTGTGACCAAATAAAGCTGGGAATTTCCAGATTTTTTTTGCATCTGGCTGTACCTCCCTTTCCAGATAGTTGCTTCTTACACTTTCTGGAACTTAGTGGAGTGTTCCTGCTGGGAAACAGAAGTGGGTCTGCCTATGTTCACTTACAGATCCTCCATCTGTGCACATCACCAGGGGGAAAGTAAAGATCCCTTGTGGTCTTTTGTTGTGTTGCTGCAATAAGGAGATTCTGTGGACCAGCTGGAAGGTGGCAAGCTGCAGTGCCCTTTCTATTCAATATCCCCCGAGATCACCCTCCCTATGGACTGGCTATTACTGTTGGCAAACCTGTTGGCTGGATACTACACAGAGTGGAACGCACACTGATTCAGCTCCTTACTACATTCATTACTGGACTTTCTCCTGCAAGATGGACAAGTAGCGATACTCCTGGGTCCTGGTACAGGTCAGGTACACTTGGTTCTAGACCTATAGTACCCCTAGACTTTGTTATCTGGCTGCTTTGTTGTTGTTGTTGAATTCCTTAGATATAAAACTGTAAAACCCTGTCTGCAGTGCAATGAGTAGCCACATGACATTAGATGTCTCCAATAATAACCTAACTGACTGTTTTTCCTGGGATCTTAACTGTTTTCCCTCTGTACCACTTGCTGGCTACCACATTGCTCTGGTATGGTTACCTTTTTTTGTGGGACTTCTGTATAAGGATCTGTACCTAATCTGATAAGTAAGCCTTTTAATAAAGATTATTATCCTACTATCACACTCTGTCTGCTGGTGCACAGAGCTGCTGTGACCATCACCATTTAATCAGATTGGTTTTTTTTTGTTAGTCCCTTAAATTAAACATAACCTACTAATGCTAGCAGTGGAACTCTGTGAGGAGAAAAGAGTCTCCTGAGTGTCTCCTTGATCCCTCCATCTGTCACATCCACAGCAGCTATTCAATCAAGGGCTGTCAGTCCATTTGATGCTTTTACATACTGCCTTATTTGTGAGTATATTTTTGTCTACTCTTTTATTGAATAAAAAGGTTTTACCTGCACCAGGAAAGGCCACTGTTTGTTTGTTTTTTCTTTTTTTTATGTCTGTGTACCATTGGGGATATTTTCTTTTAATTCCTGTCCTGGACATGCAACAGAAATCTCCAAAAGTGAAGGGAATACCCCTCTTAAATAGCTGTTGCTGGAAGAGGTGACCCCTGGAGAAGATTCACCCTCATCTACTGCTTCTGTGGCAACCCAAGCATAGCATTAGGATATGTTGCAATCAGAGGCGGCTCTAGACCTTGCGAGGCCTTAGGCAAAACTTAAAAATTAGGCCCCGTTCATGCCCATAATGGAAAATTGATGGCTCTACTGGGTCTCAGGAGGCTGTGCGGGGATTCAGGTGGTCTGTGTGTAGTCTCAGGAGGTCAAGCGGGGTTCCAGGAGGCCGTGGGGCGGGGGTGTCCTCAGGAGGCCGTGCAGGGTCTCAGGTGGTCTGTAGGTCTGTATATAGTCTCAGGAGGCCATGCAGCGCCTCAGGACAGCTGTGCAGGGTCTCGTTGCAGGTGTGGGTGGCACTGTTTCAGGAAGGAGAAGATGTGCGTATGGTGCTGTAAATTGGCACTGCAGTTCACAGGAAAACAGTTGAAGTCCCGCGCTCGCTGTGGACCTCGGCAGCATTCCTATGAACTGCGGCACCTGTTTAAAGCTCTCAGGTGGTCACTGCGGGCTCTCAGGTGGTCAGTGTGTAATATGACAAATTGGCATAAAAATCGTGACAAATTGGGGCTTTTTAGATGCATATATCACTATAAATACTATCAGGGTTATTCACTAAAGGGTGAAGTGTTTGGAGGAGGCAGGAGAAGTGAACAATCTAGGACAAAATAGCTGATTTTGAGAAATTCTCCAATTCAGCTCACTTTCCAGCTCAGCTATGTTGTCCTAGATCAGGGATAGGCAACCTCGGCTCTCCAGCTGTGCTGAAACTCCAAATCCCATCATGCTCCTGCCTCTGGGAGTCATGACTGTGGCTTGCAATGCCTTATGGGCTTTGTAGTTTCAGCACAGCTGGAGAGCAAAGGTTGCCTACCTCTGTCCTAGATTGTTCCCTTCTCCTGCTTTCTCCAAACCCTTTAGTGAATAACCCTGTAAATATTTATTGTTTTAGCATAAAAATACATAGAACTATACACAACATGATAAAATGTGATTAAAATACTATGTAAACTACAATTGATGGAGGACATTATTTAAGGCCAAGACAGCATAATACATATATTGAAATTACAAGTTCACAGAGCTGGTAACAGCAGATAACTTGCATTGTTTCCACAAGTTCTTTATCCTGCTTATTTGCGGTATAAATGCTGCTCCTTGGTCCTCACACGTGGTCTATGCATTTCACCCCAGAGGAGGCTTTCTCAGGACCAACACATAGTATACCGTAGTTGAATAAAATATAAAAGACAATCATTATACATTGTTCATAGACAACACACATGTGATGAATAAATATGTGTCTGTATATAACTTGCTTACACACTTATATACAGCACAGTCATGTATCATCGTGAAACAAGGGGAGCCAAACCAGAAGACGTCTATGCCGGGGGCCACGGAGGTGAAAAAACTAGCCAGGATACCCAACTACTATCTCTCAATACTTGATAACCATAGGAGCATGAAACGTGTCTGGGAAGAGTGAAAACTATATATTTTTTACATTTTTTAGTTGTTTTCACTCTTCCCAGACACGTTTCATGCTCCTATGGTTATCAACTATTGAAAGATAGTAGTTGGGCATCCTGGCTAGTTTCTTCCCCTCCGTGGCCCCCGGCATAGACGTCTTCTGGTTTGGCTCCCCTTGTTTCACAATGATACATGACTGTGCTGTATATAAAAGTTTGTAAGCAAGTTATCTGCTGTTACCAACTCCGCACTTTGCAGAGGTGCCTTGGTGCGGTGGTGAGGCTTCTACATATTTTTGGACAAAAGTTTGTGCAACTAAAACCTCTGATTTTAACGCATACTGTTGACAGGGCAATTTGTTTGGTTGCAGGCTAGCTGGCAGGTGAGCTGGGGATTTTTTGTGTTTTGTATTGTTGTAAGCCTTCCCAATGTGCGCCCTACCATAAAGGCTAGTTATAGATTCATGTGGGTACCATGTTTTTTCTAGTTTGACTATTTTTGGTTGTGGGGACGCACTGGTTGTCCCAGCGTGCATTTGTGGTGGCTGGGCCTCCAGTGCGTCCCTGCAGCTTATTAGGAGGAGTTGGCTGCCTCCTGGTACACCTGCATGCAATTTATCGACTGCATTAATATGCTCACATTTGGAGACTCGTATACATAGAGTTAGGACCACACTTTGCAGAGGTGCCTTGGCGCGGCGGTGTGGCTTCTACATATTTTGGCCAAAAGTTTGTGCAACTAAAACCTCTGATTTTAACGCATACTGTTGACAGGGCAATTTGTTTGGTTGCAGGCTAAAGCTGGCCCTACACTGCTCTACTTTTTTCATCAACCCACAGGCAGAACAAACAAAATAGAGCAGATTCCTTCATCAACTATTTGAGCGCGTTGATCAAGGGATCCCTGCTGTAATTCTATTTTGAGTAGAAAGTGGGAGAAATATTATAAACTATTATGGTGCATAACAAAGTTATAATAAACTAATACTTATGATGGTAATCTTAATAAAAAATAGTATTAAACAGTAGTGATAATAGACTTACAGTACTGGCAACCTAATATATAGTAATCTAATTTTTTATTAAATGCAATCCCCATGAAAACAGGCATAACGAAAGCGATCAATAATGAAAAACATAAAAGCCATGAATTATAAATCAATAATTAATCAATTAAAAATAGAAATAATTTTGTGGATGTGTAAAAATTGACAATGAAATATGATTAAATCAAGTTATGTAAGGATATCAGACAATTTCCTGTTATCATTATATCATATCATGTATTTATAATTGAGCAATAAAGTATGGTGTTATGTTGATAATGACTCGAAATTGTTGACAGCAATAAAAACCTAGTAGAGGATCTAACCCTTCCTTATTGTATACAAAACAAAAACAATGGTTTTAGATACACTATTTCTTTCTGTGAACACTAGTTCTATCTATGACCCCAATGGGGAGAAATTATCTCACCTTGTCTCTGTCACAGTGAAAGAAGTTGAGGGGTGTGGTAGTCACCGGGACAGAAAAACACAAACTGCAATAAAAACACTGTCAGACATTCCAACCGTTCCCTACTCTGCTAAAAATGAACTTGTGTCTGTATCCCTAAAGGACATATTTCCTGTCTTGAGTGCAAATCTCCGCAATAGCAGCACAGTCCGCAACAAAAACCTGACAGGCGTTCTATATTTTCCATTGTTGTCCCAAAACATCTAAAAGATGGGCTTTAAAAATACACAACACTTCAATGTCTAAGCGATGGTTAATTCATAAGGTAATGCTCTCTTATTTTTAAACTTAATTACTATTCTATTCTGTAGCCATGAACAGCAAATTATATAATTACCCTGAGAGGAAATTTGACAGGCCTGTGGTATGGCTGATACCCTACAGGGCCTCCTTGTTGAAGGATGGCTTGGTGGGCAGCATGCAGACCTTCTCCAACGACAGGCACAGCATTGTTCCGAGCATTGTGATTGTTTCCAGCTTGTTGATTAACATTGTTCTCACTTTCATCCTGGTCTCCAAGCAGGTAGGAGTGTAGGTCACTACAAAATTCAAAAGCAAAGTAAATTTAGTCAAAAACTTTGTTAAACTTGTATATGGTGATTATATAAACACATTCAATATAAAGCAAAAGATTGAGTCTAATATTACCATTTAAAAAAATGGTAGTTTTTATTAAATTATTTTTAAGCATTACAATGAAAGAACAATTCCCCTTTTCCTTTCCTTCCTCTATCTTTCTGCCTCACTTCCCAAACCCCAGGTTTCAATACAAACAATAAAAATATGTTTTGACTCGTCAATGTTTTGATTCTCCTGTGTCTACACCTCTTTTTCTGAACATAATGAGACGGTTAATATAAGTTGCTATGGGATCATACAATAGTATAATAAAAAACTTTCACCAAAGGAAAAAACAGCAACATATACATATAAAAGAAGAGCAGGCAAATAACATATAGCAACCACAACTACTGCATCAAGCACAGAAGATGAGGGTGAAAAACGGAGAATTGCAGAAACGTCACCAGCACACCAAATCCTTATAGGATCAAAATTCGTAGATTTATTGCAAACTCATGAGCAGTTACACAAGCGCTTTCGGGGCCACACAGGGTCCCTTCATCAGGCATAGCAATGACACAATTATAAGAACAGAGACAGTTTAAATAGACATAAAGCAGTGCAGGAACACCCTTAGACACACACCCTGACGTCACATGGCGTCGAAAAACAGCTGTGAACAATGGAATCATTAGAAAGACAAGCTTCTATTCACCATTTTCAAGTGAAAGAGAAACCAAAGTATTGTTGCAAATTAGTCATATCTATTCACTAGATGTAAAGCATACAATTATACCAGGAAAAAAAGGTGTTATATAAACGATCCAACATGTGCAGTGATTACCGTCAAGTTGCGAATGCATATACCGGGTTGCCATAGCGACAGGACACCGTCGTTCAGCAACAGCGCACGCGCCGTGCGGTACTGGTATCGTGTTAGCAGCCAAAGAGGAGTCAAATTAGTCCGTCCTATAAATCGGATGGCGATCTTGCGCTTCAGGAGACAAACTCGGCTATTTGTTGCTAGGCAACCACAAGCAATATGCGTGTCATCCGCCCATTAGCCAGAGGAAATCGGGGAGGAGCATCACAGATCTAACTAAAAACATACTGCACAGATTCATAGATGAAAGAAAAATTACAATGACAACGCATGTGTTGTAAATATATTACTATTAAAATAAGGCAAGAATACTCTGAACAAGTAAACAGCAGAGGCGTAAATAAAGGTGCTGAAAGCTAAACAGTGGCATTATAAAATAACGGTAAGCGGCACATGTAAAGTATCAAAAAGAGACAAGCAAAACCATATGGCAGGAAGAATTATGTCAATATTGGAACAGTACAAGTTCAATTAGCAAGACAACGTGTTAGTACCATAGGTCATGCCCCGTCAGAGTCGGGCACCATTTAGAGATGTTACGTTGGGGGAAAGGACTAGCAGATATGTGAACCAAAACCAAGAAAAAGTAAAAATTGAAAACCACAGAGCTGTCGCTGCGTAGCAAATCAACCATTGTGGGCTAAAAACGTCAATTACCATGGAAATAGTGTTAGTGGACTGGTCTAAGGCGTTCATAAAGATGAACAGACCCTTACCTGGCATCAATAAAACAGGATAAACTAAGATTAGTATTTAGACCTCTGGGGTGTACAGTGTCCAGAGTGTATATCCAAAATGCTTCCCGTTGGAGAAGATGTCTGGTCCTGTCACCCCCCCTCGGATGTTTGGGCAGGTGTTCAATCACCATCCCTCTTAGTTCATGGGTCTGGTGTTGGTGATTTACAAAATGTAGTGCCACAGGTTTGTTAGCATCAACCTCTTCTCCCTTTTGTGATTTAGTGATCGCTACACGGATGTCACTCCTGCGCTTTTGAAATCTGCATTTAAACGGACCTGTTGTCATGCCAACATAAATCAATGTGCATGGACACTTTAAGATATAAACGCAGTATTCAGTATTGCAGGTGAAAAAACCCCTGATGGATTACTTGTTGCCATTATGTGGGTGTGTGAAGAACTCACCACAAATCATTGCACTGCACATGTTGCAGTGATAACATCTATAGCAGCCCGTTTTCTTAGAAAACAAATGTGGTACAGCACAGTATTTGGCTCTGAGATCAGCCTGTACTAGTGCATGTTTAAATGTGTGTCACCGCGTTTATATACATTAAGCGGTTTGTTCTTAATGACAGATGTGAGACATTTATCGGCTTGCAAAATATTGAGATTTTTGAATGTCATCCTTTTACCGTGACCCGATGCCTCGGTAAACGTCTGTAGAAAAGGGATTCTATTCTGCACATTGTGCGTTGTGGGGCACCCTGCGTGTTTAGCAATAACTTTAGTAAGTGCAGCATCAATGATTGCGGCGGCATAACCTCTCTCAGTGACACGTAAAAACTGTGAGATTGGCAGGTTATCAAGTAGGTGCCGTGGGTGGGCACTATCGTAATGTAACAAGGTATTCCTATCAGTCGGTATGATATAGACAGAGGTATCAAACCTATTGTCAACTATGGTTATTCGTACATCAAGAAATGAGACACTGTAGTCGGATACGACTGGGTTGAATACTATCCCTGGGAATAAACCATTAAGGAAAGAGACAAAGTTATCAAACAGTTGTAAATCACCTGACCAGATCAGGAATGGATCATTGATATACCGGACCCACAACTTAACGTATGATGTAAATAAAGATGTCCTTAATATGAATAAGTTATTATTGAGGACAAAAGCAAGACAGTGTATAATACACGATGTTGGTACCTCATGCATACTTCAAGACAGGAAGTGTTCAGCGGCTTTCAAACCAGCATCGTTTGGTATGCAAGTGTAGAACGATGATATGTCCATAGTAGCAAGAGACCCAAAGTTACGTATTCTTGGTAGAAAGTCATCTGTATCCTTACATAGTTATATAGTATTTGAGGTTGAATAAAGACACAGGTCCATCAAGTCCAACCTATTGCGTGTATGTATGTGATTCTGCAGGTGTTTGCATGTGTATGAGTCCATGTGTGATCTTGTTCTTAAGTGTACCTGTACCCCTGTATATTATGGTCTCTAAGGAAATTGCCCAAAAGCTTTTTGAATGATTCAACATTCTTAGCTGAAATCACTGCATGCGGCAGAGAGTTCCAGACCCTAACCACTCTAACTGAGAACAAGCCCCTTCGCCCCTTGTGCTGAAATTTGTTCTCCACCAATTTTAGGTGGTGACCTCTAGCCTTTGTTATGGAGTTAACCGTAAAGAGTTTGTTGCTGAGGTTACTATCATTGAACATCTTGTAGATAAAAATGATGCCCCCCCCTTAATCTCCTCACATCCAGCGGGAACATATTTAAATTTAGTAACCTTGTCTCATAGCTTTGGTCCTCCATCCCCTTAATTAGTTTGGTTGCCCTCCTCTGGACTCTTTCCAGCTGAAGGACATCTTTTCTGTGGATTGGTGACCAAAACTGGATCGCATACTCCTGATGAGGACGAACCAGCGATCTATAAAGTGGCACAATTATAGACTTGTCTCTACAGTACATCCCCTTCTTAATACAAGACAGGACTCTACATGCTTTGTTTACAGCAGCCTGGCACTGCAAGCTATTATTCAATCTGTGGTTTACAATGACCCCAAATCCTTTTCCATTTCTGACTTCCCTAATGGCGTTCCCATTATTGTGTAGTCCACTTGCCTATTTTTAACTTTTTTTCAAAGTGCCTTACTTTACATTTATCGACATTAAACCTCATCTGCCATATAGTTGCCCACTCAACCTATTTTATCCAGGTCCTCCTGTAATGTTATGGTGTCTAAGTCCGTGTCTATTACCCTCCCGATTTTGGTATCATCAGCAAACACTGAAACATGGCTATTCACGCCCTCCCCGATATTGTAAATAAACAGGTTGAATAGCATGGAGCCTAGCACAGAACCCTGAGGCCCACCGCTCATGACACTAGACCAATCTGAAAAGGAGCCATTTATTGATACTTTCTGGACACGTTCCTGTAGCCAGCTCTCTATCCACGTACACACCATTTCATCGATGGCCTTAGACCTCAGCTTGTGTAGCAAGCGTTTATGTGGTACTGTGTCAAATGCTTTTGAAAAATCCAGATATACTACATCCACCGGCCTCCCTCCATCCAGATCTCTACTTACCCCTTCGTAAAATGTTAGTAGGTTGGTCTGGCAGGAACGGTCCTTTCTAAATGCATGCTGGTTATCATTTACTATGCCATTATCCTAAACAAACTCTACTAAGTAGTCCTTAATCATTCCCTCTAACAGTTTGAATACTATGGATGTAAGACTAACTGGTGTGTAGTTCCCAGGTTGGCATCTTGACCACTTTTTGAATATTGGTACTACCGTAGCCTTCCGCCAGTCACTTGGTACTCTACCAGTCATTAATGAGTCCTTAAGTAGTTATAACCTGGCTGACTTCTTTAAGTACCTTGGGGTGCAGGTTATCTGGTCCTAATGCTTTATTTCCATTAAGTTTTTCAAGTCTATGTTGAACCCTGGCTTCCGTCAACCAATGTGGTATATTTTGTGATGAGCTATGTGTATTCTTATCCACATTAAACCTGTCTTTTTCCTGAGTGTATACTGAGGAGAAAAAAAGTATTCAACACTTGGGCCCTTTCCCTGTCGTTTGTGACTAACTTCCTGTGTAGCTGCCCAAATTACTTGTTTACATATTTTATTACATTCTTTGTAGTTCTGGAACGCCAATGCCGTCCCCTCCATCTTATATTTTCTAAATGCCACTCTCTTGTCCTTGATGTGTTGCTTCACTGTTTTATTTAGCAATGCAGGCTTAGTTATTGATCTTTTACTTTTGTTACCCAATGGTATACACCTGGAAATAGCATTATGTAATGTGTTCTTAAAACAATCCCACTTCTGGTCAGTGTTCAGTTTGTGAAATACGTTTTCCCATTCGGTGTTACATACTAGCTGGTGC